TGACTTTTGGTAGATTTTCGTTCATCAAATTATAGTTTTTGAATATTCTATCATATTGAACACGGAAACATTTGATTGAATGAAAATTTCTAAAAGGAAATGCTACCTTGGGTAGTCCTATGTTGCACGACGTAGTGGATCTATCCAGGATGGAGGTGAATATGACAGTATCCTTTGCTCGTGCCTCAGGTTGGTTTGAATCCGCACTGAACATGAACACGTAATGTCCCATGGGTAGGTCGAGGCGCGATCCGCGGACCAACATATGGACCCAAGTGTGTCGACTCTCTCGTCGACAATCTCAATAACCCAACGTAAACCCAATATAGGCAAATTATTTAATTGATTAATTAATACATAATTTAAATTAGCAAACATAAATTTTATAAAATGAGATAGTTTTCAGAGTTATTTGATGTGATTTGAATTGTTTTGCTTATTTTTGTTTCAAAGGAACATATGCTGAAGTTTATGTATATGAATAATATCAGGAATATTTATTTAACTTCTTCAATGAAATATCACCGTGATATAATTTTAAATTTTTTTATTGGACATGAACGCGGCCACATAGACATGATACTATAGGTCATTTAAAATGAAACTGTATTTTCAGTTTCTCATTTTGTGATCTTTTCTCCTTTTTGAGAACTTTAAAGTTGTAAGGATGTTAAAATTTATTAAAATAGATTTACTAAATAATTTTTGTCAATATGGGTATCAAATGAAAAATCTCCGGAAATCAAATCTATTTTTTGTTTTTTTTTTATTACGAAATATTTTAAATAATGTCCTTTAAAAATTTCATCCTTTCATATCCTTGAGAATTTCTATTCTTTGTTTCTTAAATAAATATATGTTGATACATTATGTCTTATTTACCACATACATAAAATTTGTTGTTATAATTATATTAGTTAAGCCACTAAAAAAATTATATTTTTACTCTAATATAAAAAAAAATTCTTGACAAATACGGCAATCAACGTGGGAAAATATTGGACATTACTTTTTGAACTTAAAACAAAACCAAATACAACTGAAAGTAAAGTTCTTATATAGAAAACTGTATACTCAGCTTTAAATTTTCTGATCCCTTTTCCTTTTTAAAGAACTTTGAACTTTTAAGGATATAATATTTTCTGTATTTATTAAAATATTTGTGTTACTGGGCGTGAAATTAATTAGTACGGTCTCTAAAAATGGAAATATCCTTTTAAAATGTTATCCTTCCATATAAAGGATGAAATTATCAAATTGATAATTTAATTTAATTTGATAATTTTTGAAATTAAAACATACATTAATTTTTTTTTGGAAACAGTGAAGAAACAGCTATCTAAACTTCTTTGGACAATTTTTGCTAAGACAACAGATGAAAAGTTGCAGTCATTTGAAAAAACCCTGTATGACCAAAATCTCCAACTTTGACTCGCTGTAACTCCGGCAGTTCTTGACCTTGGTGCAAATTTCATCCAAATCGATTTTTTGAGTTGGATCGCCTGACACGAAATTGCCCATTTGTATATTGGAAATTCTCAGAAATTTAAAATGAAAAACAATACGGGAAATATTATGTCAAGTGACCCAACCCAAAAAATCGATTTTAATGAAATTTGCACCAAGGTTATTACTATTGGGTACTAGGCCAGACACAAATTTTCAGCTGTATCGACTAAGAACTGCCGGATTTAGAGGGTGGTTAAAGTTGGACATTGTGGTCATACAGGGTTTTATTCAAATGAGTGTAACTTTTCACCTATTTGTCCTAGCTAAAATTGCCCAAAGGAGTTCAGAAAGCTAATTCTTAATTGTTTCCAAAAATGGGCCGTTTTTTTTTTTTTTGCTCAAAAGAAATCTTATACGATTTCTGGCTTTATAGTCCCAGAATTTTCTAGAATAATTACTTTTAATACTCTTTAAAAGTGTTATTAATGACCTACTGACTCTCTATAAAGCAGTGCGGTCAATTATGAACCGATGCTCAATAAATTTGGTAAAGAGAATAATTAATTTATTAATTTTAAACTACTTTATAACAAATTTCACCCCGATATTAATAATTATAAGTTCAATATGAATGTTAATGTAATTTTCTAAGGTCCTTTTTTGAATATTTCACTGCAAAAATATACCATGATAGTTGTATAGTTAACATATTTATAGTTCATATATTTGGAACAGTCCTAGTCTTTTGGGGAGTACTCTTTACACGCGTGTGGAGTAGTTTCAAATTTTACTTTAATGCAAATAGAAGCATGATATCGGTATTGAAACTGGTATAACACCGGTATTAATTCAGTATTGATACCGTTATGATAACGGTATTGTAAAGGTATGATACCGGTATAGGGGTAAACGGTATTTGAGTACCTTTATTTATACCTATAAACTTACTTTGGTGTCAATACCGATATTAAATTTTAAACGGTATTTAAGCGGTCAAAAGGTTTATAACTCCAAAACTAAAAAATTGTTGACCAAAATACATACTACATGTATGTATGTACGTAGACTCCCCCTCACTTAAATAGGTTCTTTGTTTCGTTTACATTAAAATAAAATTTTTGAAAAAAAATTACTAATTGGTTATATTAAAATTTTAATTAATAGCTGATGTCTTAAATATCTCTAGATAGACAAACATTGGTGCAATACTAAATAAGCGATTTTTAATAATTTTTTTCTAAAACACTACTTTTTTGAACAATATTTTTTGGCTCATTTAAATAGGTTCATCATCTTTAATTGACAAACACATCACTTGATATAACTTCGAAAATTCGAGGTGATAAACAGTTATAAAGATTCTTATGTAATGGCAAGGAAATTTCAGTCCAAACCTTTTTAGTTCCTTCAAAATACTGTCTGCCAGACATATACACATTACGAGAAAAAATATCCGAAACCTTTTCAATGATAAATAGGTGAGAAGATACATTACATTCTGTCTTCGAATCCATCCTTTTACAGCCCTGGCGGTATGGATCGAGGCATTATATTTTTGAAATATCCACGGCAAGGGATCAAACATATCCGAAAATGTCAAAAAAGCTGTTTGCAGTATGGCATTACAATTATTACAATTCTTACTAGATAAAAGAAATTGAAGCTCAAATGTTTCATAATATGAAATTGGCCCCCCTACATCCCACATCGTACACAGCCATGCAGACGACTTAGGTAGAGCTCTTCCTTTCAAAAATCATAAAAATATCGAGATGTTGACATTGTTTTTATAACCACATGTACACGTGGAGGTTTTTTCTTTACGAATGGCAATTGGAGTGGGTTTTATTAATTTGTTAATATTTTTAAAGCCCTGGCCCTTCTTACAATTCATTCTGACAAAACATTCTGAATTTGCCAAATATTTTGGCCAAATTCCTGTGATTTTGGACAGTTTCCAAAAACGCTTATATTTTGTCATTTTTTTCTTTAGTTAATGGCTTACCGCAACCAAAAAAAATTTCTATATTCACGGACACTAGAATATGAATGGATTTTGAATGAGTGAGCCAAAAAAATAAAGCTAAAAAACGTAGTATGTAAGAAAAAAATTATTTAAAATCAGCTTTTAGGTATTGTTCTAATTTTTGTCTTACTAGTGACACCTAAGACATCATGTTATTATTTAAAATTTTAATATTACTAGTTAGTTGATTATTTTTTGCAAAAAAATAATTTGAATGTAAACAAAACAGTGAACCTATTAAAGGTATTTTCAGACTACAATACTGAGTATTAATACTTGTCAAAAATGTTTGTATCATAATACAATTTACTAGTCTAAATATAATTTGTAATTTGATTTTCAGAAATATTACTGATTTTTTTGGCATACCGACCGTATTCATAAATTTTTTAAAACAATTAAAAAACTTTTTATTTTCAAACGTATTCGGTATGTATTTTATAAATACAATAAAAAACAAACAAAAAGTGTAAAATACATTAAAAATAAGAACGAAATGTGCATAAATAATTGAAAATTTGATAAAAAATATTTCAAATATTATAGTGTAAACATAAAATGTATTTTTCGGATTTTTTGAAAATGCGAATTATTTTCATAATATTTTTAATTTGAAGTGTGTTAATACTCAGTATTGTAGTCTGAAAATACCTTAAGTGAGCGGGAGTGTATATCACAAATCTTAGAATTAAAATGTCTGAGTGGTATTTTTTCAAAATTGGAGAGTTATACATATTGTAAATAATATTTAAATTTAAATAATACATATATCGTATTTAGGGTTTCCAAATTCCCGACGTTTTTTGATTCCCGGGAATCGGGAAAAAAATATTCACATTCCCGTGAACCCGGGAATTCCCGATATAATAAAAAAATTAATTTAAAAAGCGTTTACGCGATGTTTTATTGAAGTTTTTTAACATATCATGTAAGTTAGAAATATGTATATATAAAATCAGGGTTGACAATAGTTTTGAAGCAGTGAAAAGATAAGGGTAACTGTATTTGGATTATTTCGGTAACGTTGTTTTAGCGGTAATGGTAGTGAGATAAGAGGGTATTTTAAAGGTGTAATATAGGAAAAATTATTTAAAAATAAAATAACGGTAGTTCGGTAACGATATTTGTGAGATAACGGTAGTAGAGCTGAGGAAACGATAGCCAATCTTTATTTAAATAAAGTAAATAAAATACTTTATTATTTTCTTTATAAATACATACATATGAGTATGTATTGTAGTGTCCCGCGGGCAACTTTTTGAAGGAATACCTGTCCATTTTTGTTGTATAAAATGTGTTACAATAACCATGGTTGTAATTTTGCTAGTTTTTAATTCCCGGGATTCCCGACTAAAATTCCCGGGAATCGGGAAGCTAAAAATCACTACATTTCCCGGGAATTTTTTCCCGACGCTTCCCGGGAACGAAACCCTAATCGTATTATACATGAAATTTTTGTAAATATTACGAAAAAAGTAATTACGAAATTTTTAGTGAAGGTACATATTCGTAGTTTATTACTCACACAACTTTTTCAGGCTCCGTTAATGCCGATAGAAAACCGATGACTTCAGTCAGTCCAGTTCGATATGAATTAATATACGGTTGAAAGCACAAATCCTGTTGAAGGGGTAGACCCATAAAACGAATTAGTATGTGAATCTGATCAATATCAATATCTGTTTTTTTGTTGTCCTCAGCAGTAACTGACAAATCTTTAAGAATATTTCGTAATAAAGAAAATACACAATATTTAACAGCGTTAGCAAATTGAACGGGTTCTTCAATTAGAAAATGCAACAAATTCAACGAATACTTTAAAAAATCTGAGTAAACGAAGGGGAGTTTAACAATGATAGCACTAAAGTTATTTTCAGGCCGTTGTGATGACTGGTTATTCTTAATGAAGTCTTCGGCTACAGTTTCTATAATTTTAACAAGTTTACTGCTGCGTATAAAGTTGCCGAGTTGACATTGTTCCTGAAATCTGAAAAGTATTAATGTTTTATTACATGTTAAACATTGTAATTGTAACAAATATCTTACGATTGTGTAAAATAAGAATTATTGATAATATGGGACTGCTTTTTAACATTCGACAACATTCTTGAACTCGAACAGCCGCCAGATTGGTCAGAGCCCTGCGCCGACAAATATTAACGACGGCGGGGGCTGACAATAAAAATATCGTCGGCGGCTTAAAATCGACTGTAAGCCGGCTAAGTATCAAATACGCTTAATTTACAAATTTCCAAATATTTTATAAAAAAACGAAATCCGAGAGATAAAAAAAGTGGGATTTTGTATATAATTTATAACAATAAAATAGAGCAAGCACAAAAGTTGTGTGAGAAATTATGTAGGGATGGAAAAAAATAAAAAAATTAAAAATTTAACTCTCTATAAAAGATACAAAAACAGTTTAAAGCTTATCGTCGTTCATTTAAAACATAAGCTTTTTTCATATTCGGCCCCTTTAGGGAATAAACGGGTAAAAACTGTATTTTGGTACTTTTTGCACCCAATCTTTTTTTAGCCAAGGAACATTCAAAAAATATTTTTGACTCCTTTAAACCTTGACGAAAAAATATGAATTTAGTACTTTTTGGATATTCGAACGTTTAAGGGGTGAAAATTGTACCTGTTTTTGGTACTTTTTTCATAGAACATTGTTTTTGGTTTATTAACTTATACATACGAATACATAATAACGGGCTCCCAATACGATGTTGCAACTTTTTGGAATAGAATTTTTATTTCGTTAATGGGGAGGAAAAAAGTACCAAAAGGGCTAAAAGCGGGAAATTTGATTTTATTCAAACACAATGATCCAATTTAGTTTTTGAATTTTCTTTAAAATTAAACCTAGAAACATGAAATTAAGAATGTATAGCCCGGAGAAAATGAGAATCTATAATTTAATCTTGGTACTTTATCGTACTTCGACTGGTGCGGAGTAAATGAGAATCTATGAAAGGGGACTTTTTGTTCTTCAAAAGGAACTTTTTGAATTTTCTATAACATTGAACCTAGAAACATGAAATTAGGTATGTAGAGCCCGGAGTAAATGAGAAGCTATAAAAGGGGATTTATTGGTACTTTATCGTACTTCGACTGGTACTTTTTTGAGTTTTCTATAAAATTTAACCTAGAAACATGTAATTAAGCACGTGGAGCGCGGAGTAAATGAAAATCTATAATAGGGCTCTTTTTGGTACTTTTTTGTTCTTCAAAAGAAACTTTTTGAATTTTCTACAATATTAAACCTAGAAATATGAAATTAAGCATGCAGAGCCCGGATTAAGTGAGAACATATAAAAGGGAACTTTATGGTACTTTTTCGTTCTTCAAAAGGTACTTTTTGTGTTTTTTATAATATTGATCCTAGAAACATGAACTCAAGCATGTGGAGCCCGGAGTAAGTGGGAACATATAAAAGGAGACTTTTTGGTACTTTTTCGTTCTTCAAAAGGTACTTTTTTTATATAATATTGAACCTAAAAACATAGCCCGAATGTAATGAGAATCTAGAAAAGGTGGATTTTTAGTACTTTTCCGTTCACTAAAAGGTACTTTTTGAATTTTTTTATAATAATGAACCTAGAAGCATAAAATTAAGCATGTAGAGCCAGCAGTAAATGATAACCTATAAAAGGGGACTTTTTGATACATTTTTGTTTTATAACTGGTACTTTTTGAGTTTATTATATTATTTTATCGAACTTAGGAACATGAAATTAAGTATATAGACCCCGGAGTAAATGAGAACATATAAAATGGAACCTTTTGGTACTTTTTCGTTCTTCATTGGTACTTTTTGAATTTTCTATTTTAATGATCCTAGACACATAAAACTAAGCAGCCAAGGACTTGATTGAATGAAAATTTAAAATGGAGCATTTTCTGGTACTTTTTCGTTCTTTAACTGGTACTTTTTGAATTTTCTATAATATTGAACTTTGTTATTTTACTAATACTTTTCAAACTTTCTATAATATTTAACCTAAAAAATAATATTTAACCTAAAAAAATCTATAAAAATTCATTGTCTGGTACGTTTTCGTTCTTCAACTGCTTTTTTTAATTTTCTGTAATATTGACACTAGAATCATAAAATCAAACTTATAGGGTCCTTATTAAAAGGGGACTTTCATATATTCTAAATATTGAACCTACAAAGAAGTATATTTATTTTATTCAATTACGATGAGGGTAGCTAGTCTATATAATAAAATTTTTAATAATCTAAATACATGATTAATTTCAAATTTCTGGGTTTAGTATTATAGCAAACTCAAAAATTACCAGTTAAAGAATGAAAAAGTATCAAAAAGTACCCGTTTATATGTTCTTACTTATTCCGGGCTCTACATGCTTAATTTCATGTTTCTAAGTTCAATATCATAGAGAATTCAAAAAGTACCTTTTGAAGAACGAAAAAGTACCAAAAAATCCCATTTTATAAGTTCTCATTTACTCCAGGCCCTACATGCTTAATTTCATGTTTCTAGATTTAATTTTAAATAAAACTCAAAAAAGTACCAGTGAAGAAGGAAAATGTACCTAACTAAAAGTATTTTTATTATTATATTCATGTTTCGATTTTATGTTTCGAAATTATGAGAACTCTTTTTTTAACGAGAATTTTACTCGGATTCGATTTACAGAACAGACAGGATTTTGTTTGAATAAAATCAAATTTCACGTTTTTACCCCCTTTCGGAACTTTTTTCCTCCCCATTAACAAAATAAAATTTGTATTCCAAAAAGTTGCAACATCGTAGTGTCATAGTGTCGTAGTCATACATAATACATTTCGTTACTTGAAATGCAAACGACCCTAACTAAAAACAATTCAAAATCGATTTTATTGGTGATTCTAATGTATTGCATCAAAACAAATGTCCACACCAAAAATTGGACTCCTCCGACCATAATTATCGATTTTATTGACAGAAAACGAAAGGCCCCATCTACAAAAAAATATATTAAAGGTAAAAAGTCCAATTTATCCACTTTTATATACGCCATTGTCAACTATCATAACAAAAAATAGGTTTGACTATTTAACGATTTGTTTATTTACTACAAATAAATTGCGTTGATAGAAACAAACTTTTTCAATTTAAATAGTTTTTTGCTTCTGTTGTAAAATTTTAAAAATGTTAGATAGAGCCGTTTGCGTTTTAGGTGACGATATGTAAATTATATTACATTATGAAACGCAAACGGTCCTAACTAACCAAAAATTCAAAATCTATTTTATTGTTGATTCTAATTTATTGTACCAAAACAAATATCCACACCAAAAATTGGACTCCTCCGACCAAAATTATCGATTTTATTGACAAAAAACTATTGTCAACTATCATAACAAATGATAAGTTTCACTATTAAACAATTTGTTTATTTACTTTAAATAAATCGCGTTGATTGAAACAAACTTTTCTATATAAATAGTTCGCTCTCCTGTAAAATTTTAAAAATGTTAGATAGGGCAGTTTGCGTTTTAGGTGGCGATATATATAACTTAATAAACCAAAAGTACCAGACATCTGTCCGCTTACTTTTTTAATGAACGTCAATAAGCATTAAACTCGTTTTGTATCTTTTCTAGTTTAGGAGATATGAGGTTACCGAATTTACCCTTTTTTACCCCCTAAACATCAGAGATGGGGGTAGTGCACTAAATTATTAGTTAAATCAATATTTAACTAGCACTAAATATTATTTTTTATAAAAATGAATAAATTTGTAAGACAATAAATGATTAAATTTTTTAAAAGATACATCTATTAAAATGGAAAATACAGATTTTGTTAGCGATGGCACTATGATAGACCCTACATATGCAGTTACCCCAACAACATCTCATGCTTTAAAAAGAAATGGTTGAAACACCTAAATTCCAAAATTTTGCCTTCTTCTGTTCAAGTATAACGATGTTTTCTTTAGCGGAATGGTGAACTCTGCTCGAAAAATTAAATTAATTGGTTAATTTTGTACCTCGATTGCCACGTCATCTGCGTTGCCAGTTGCCAAAATGATGTGGTTACTGGATGTTTTTTAGGCAATAGCTTGGAACCTTTGTAAATAATGAACGTTTTACTTCCCAGCAAAAAATAATTGATGTCATACTTTACAAAAGACATCTTAATCACATCTAAAAATGCGATTGCATATTTTTCGCTTCTATAAACCAAATATTTCCTTACAAATAAAAACCGAGTTAAAAGTGAGGAAAGAGATGTTGAAAAGTCACTACAAATAACATATTCGAAGTACATCAAATTTTGGTGAAAAACCAATGAAATTTACATAAGCGTGTCAAAGAATGTGGTTTATTTTTGAAATCAAAATATCGGATTTTTACTGAATCTATGAATAAGATTAAATGTAGTTCAAAATTGTCAAAAATGAACAACATCCCTCCAATGAAAATGTGGTGAAAATTCTACTTCTTTTTCCTCACTTTTTTTGCTGGGTTATTAATAATATTCGTCCAATGAGTTTTTGGTTGACTTAATCCATTTCTAGACTGTCCTATTAACTTAAACTTTCAAATGAGTGAAACATTTCTCTGTTGAAAAAAATAGTGCATGAATATTTTTTGAACTAATAATTTAGTGTAGAAAAAATTATTTCACTAGGCTGTAAAAACAAATATTTTAACTATTTTTAAAATATTTTTAGTTAAAAATTTTAAATATCACTATCACTATTATTGAATGAGGCTTATATTTTTCAATTCATCACTAAACATAAATAAAAGTAGTGAATAATTTTGAACTACCACTAATAATTAGTGATAGTTAAAAATTAGTGCACTACCCCCATCTCTGCTAAACATTCGAATTTTCTTAGTGCATCTATTTGGTGGGAGACCAACCTCCTGTCCAAATTTCAGCTCTTTAGCTTTAACCATTTAGGCCGTGCGATGATGAATCAGTCAGTCAGTAACGTTAGAATTTTATATATATATAGATGTTTATAGATAATTAACAAAAGTGTTATATTCGTCTATGCCGAATCTTATATACCCATCATCAAAACATACATACATATGTCGTAAAAAAGCAAATTTCGGAAGTGGTTATATAGATATATGGAGTTTCACCATTAGTTTAATATGATCGTCAGCGTTATTTTGG